AGTTAGACTGTGGAAGCATGGATGAGACAGCCTAGGGAGAGGAGCTGGAGTTTAGGGGCCCAGTCTCCCCCATCTCAAGGGGGCCTGAGGCATCCTAGCCCAGTTCCTGTGACCAGATTACATCTGTGCTGCGCTGTGCTGGAGGAGCAGTAACCCACCCTCAATTCCACTGGCTGGTGCAGTCTGTTTGTGCCATTTCGGGGTGCAGGAGACGGGGAACCCCCAACGCGCCGTCACACAGGAGGCAGCTGGAGGGGCTGTGATGGGTCTGATCATGGATGCCTGGCGAGATGGACGTGACTGGGCATGTAGCTGCCCCCACCCCGGCTGCACCTGTCACCCTCCTCACCGCGGGAGCCCAGCCTGGGGGAGCTCTCGGCCTCTGATATCACCCACGACTCCGTCCTGCTCTCCTGGACCGTCCCAGCTGGGGACTTCGACTCCTTCCTCCTCCAGTACAAGGACGCGGAGGGCCAGCCCCAGGCGCTGCCCGTGGACGGAGGATCCCGCACGGTCACCGTCCCCAACCTGGCGCCTTCCCGCCGGTACAAGTTCAACCTCTACGGCGTGTCCGGCCGCAAGCGCCTGGGCCCCCTCTCCACCGACGCCACCACAGGTCAGCGGCTGCTCCCGGAGCCCTTTGTGCACCCTTTCCTGTTGCACAGTGGCAGAGGAAGTTATGTGTTAAGATGTCTGCATAGAGGTGTATCAGAGGGTGGTTGAATGGATGGACAGGTGGGTAGGTAGGTGAAGGGATGGATGGATGAATGGTTTAGTGAGTAGGTGGGTTGGTGGATGGATGGATGGTTGGGTGGACGGATGTATGGAAGGATGTATGGGTGCATGGGTGGACAGACCAATGGATGGACAGACGGACAGACGGACAGACAGATGGATGGGTGGGTGTATGAATGGATGGACTTATGGGTGGGTGGGTGGCTTAAAATATGGATGGGTGGGTGGATGTATGTGTGGGTAGATGGGTGGGAAGATGGATAGATGGACAGGAAAGTGGGTGACTGGTTGGATGGGTGAGTGGGTGGATGGACGGGTGAGCGGGTGTGTGGATGGACAGATGGTTTGTGACTGGACAGAAGGACAACTGGCAGGCTGGAGGGGTGTGTGCTGGGACGAGTGGATGGAGAATGGATGATTTTCGGGCAGACGAATGGCCGTCTTGTGGGTGTGGGGGTGTGTGTGGAAGGACGGATGGATGTGCAGACCCAGTGGGGTAGGAGGCTGTCTGAGGACAGATGGCCTACAGGGTTGGGTGTGGGGTATAAGTGGGTGTGGGGGGGGTGCACAGCCCCAGGGAGGCAGCCCTGTTCCGCGGGGTGGATGGATGCCTGCCTCTGTATGGGAAGAAAGAGCCGCGGGGTGGATGGATGCCTGCCTCTGTATGGGAACAAAGGGTGAGCGTGCTTGGGAGTTAAGGGACGGTCGAGGAGCGCATGAGGAGATGGACAAGCGCACAGGTGCCGACTTCCTCCTTGCTCTGGTAGGAACTCAACCCCTGATTCAACCCAGGCCCCTTTCCCCATCTCTGCCCCCGGCTCTGCCCGCCTCTTCCCTCCTCCACCCCTTCCCCGAGCACTTCCAGCACCCCACGACACAGCTGTTCGGGAGGGCGGGGGAGGAGGTGTTTGCTGGGGCGGCTGAAGGACAGGTGTGTGCTGCTTGCTCTGGGCCAACGGAGGCGGGATGGTCGGGGGTAAACCGGGCAATCTGCCCCGTCTGTCTGTCCCCCCAGCTGTCCTTCCCAGGAGCAGGACACCACTGTGCGCTGGGGCTGGTCCCTGAGACTCCTGCCATCTCTCTGCTCATCCCCCCGCAGGTCCCCTCTGGCTGGGAACATGCCAGCCCCCCAAGACCCCAGCAAGCTGCTCCCTATCCCAGCTGCACCCTTCACCCCTCTCTCTGTTCCACCTGCAGCACCACAGACGGAGCAACCTGCCCCCCAGCCCAGCCTGGGGGAGCTCTCGGCCTCCGACATCACCCACGACTCCGTCCTGCTCTCCTGGACCGTCCCGGCCGGGGACTTCGACTCCTTCCTCCTCCAGTACAAGGACGCAGAGGGCCAGCCCCAGGCGCTGCGCGTGGACGGGGCATCCCGCACGGTCACCATCCCCAACCTGGCGCCTTCCCACCGATACAAGTTCAC